AGGCAACATTTCACGAATGAACATCTTATAGGCCGACACTTCCCACTTCCCTCCAGGCCTCAACCTCTGTGACTTTTGGCTATGGGGTTATCTCAAAAGCACTGTTTATGGTGATAATCTAAACAATTTGGCAGAAATGAAAAATGTGATACACCGACATGTCCAAAACATTCTTCCTGATATGCTAAGAGCTGCTGTTGAGAATGCAGTAACAGGATTTAACTTCTTTTCGGAAAATGCTGGATACTACATTGAACATGCTTTGTAACACGTTTCAGAAACGATTACACACATTTTAAACCAGATGTTTTCATGTCTTATTTCATTTAACAATATTACATACAGTGCCATTTTCCCTGGTGGTGAGTTTTTTAACTCTCCCCCCCTTCCGCGGAAAATAAATTCCCATAACCTCCTTTACAAGATTCCCTAGTTTGATAACATTTGGTCTGGTAGTTTTCCTTTTATGATCATTTCAAAGTGGAATTTTAATTATAACCACCATGTAAATTAAACTTTAAAAGTTTGACAGTTTGGTTTAAGTTCCAGCTTTAAATAGCTTTGTCCCAGCTTTAAATATATATAAATATAAATTTTTATATTAATCCTCTTAGAAGAGAATGTTTTAAGAAGCTAAATTTTTCTGTCGCTTATAGATTGTATAAAAAAACACAACATAACTTTGTTTATTTAGTTAAAATGGCTAGAAAATGAAAAGCTGTCTTCAACTGAAATGCAGTTATGCAATTGATATTTTAAAACAATCGACAAGAATGCAAAATTTATGAAAGTCTAGCAATCGAAAAACCTTGATTTTCTTGTGTGAGCGCTGAAAATAACTGTAGAAGAAAAGAAGAAAATTAGGGAGTAGTAAAATTAGGGAAAAGTAAGCAAAAATTTGAAGGGAAATATGGCTGTCAGACATACCAAGATGTTTCAAAAAGTTGGATGCTTTTGAATATACTTTCAGGATACTTTAAAGAATTTAGGTGTTCAAAGAGAAAACACTTGGACGTGTACACCAGCAAATACCATCAATTCAGCTTGTGTTAGAAAAGACAAAAATGATATCATTGCAGATTAAAGTGAAAAGCGACTGGTTTTAGACTATATGGTTCGGTTTTAGACTGGTAGTTCGTTCCGAGGTTCGAATCCCGCAAATGGGCTGGCTCCATAGGCGTTTTGGTGGTTTTCCCCATGTGTAACGAATATATGAACCAATTTCTCTTAGAAAGTTCTCTACGAAGGAATCACTACCCTTAGGCAGATAGCCCTAGTGTGCTTTGTTATAATTAAATAAAGCAAAACCTCTTGATTAAACCAGCCTTTCTTTTCATCTCATACCTTCAAAATGCTAACCTCTAAAGATTGAAAACGGCTATGACTTAAATACTGATGAAATGGATTGAATTGGATTATTAAGTTACAGCAAAGGAGGGCTATCTGCCTAAAAGGAAGAATGCTTTCGTGAAGAACTTTCTAAGGGAAACCAGCTGGCATACATGTTACACATGAGAAATCCACGAAAACGCCCATGCAACCAGCCCGTTTACCGGGATTCGAACCCCGGAGTGACCTACCAGTGTTCAGCGGCTTTACCGCTGGGCCGTTTGTGGGCCTTAATGGAAGGCGATAACTTTATTTAAAAGGACTGTCAGATACACCAAGATGTTTCGAAAAGTTGGATGCTTTTTAATATACTTGCAGAATGCCTGAAGAAAAAGAGTAAGAATAAAGCAGAATACCTGAAGAAAAACTGTTTAAAGCAGTGTATGCAAGTCATCCTAAGTTAAAATGTCGGTTACACATCTCTCTTATTTGTACATCTTTTCTGAACGGAACATTGAAAGGTGTGTTAAGTTTGCTTTACTGTATTTTCTCTTTTAATATATGCAGTTTTCAAATGCATCGTAGTCTGGGTTACAAAATATTCTTCCAAAAGAAATGCAATTCAAATAAATAAAATCAAATTCTGGAAAATTTATATTAATAAATATATTTAAAAAATGCTCAGTTCGAATGAATAAATAGAAAATTTTAAAATAATTATCTGAAAGGACAATGCAAACACTAACAAATTAAAAAAAAGTCTCAAAATTTAAAATTACCTAAAATAAAATAGTAACTATGACTAAAAATATAGTATAAAGAAAAGTATTTGAAAAAATAAATAAATAAACGATGCACCTTTGATTTAAACTACGCAGTTCGAATGAGTAAATAGAATTTTTTAAAACAGTTATTCGAAAGAAACTATGCAACGTAAACAATTAAAATGAAATTCGAAGAAGAAAACAAAATTGCTTAAAATTAATAACAATTATAATTAAAAATATAATGTAAAGAACATTATTTAAAAGAAGGAATGATTGAGTCTTTTTTTCCTCTCACGCACTATATAAAAATGGAAATGAAAATAGGTTGCCACATATTAAGAAGTGCGCCAAGTGAACTAACTTTGGCACAAACTGAATAAAAAGCGCCAACATAAATTGTTGAATTTTTCCGTAAATTTCGCAGCAAATTTTACAAAATTTAATATGTAAGCATAATTTGGGTCGTAGAGTCGAAATATGTAAAAAAATTGGTATGTTATTTTAGAAAAAGCCCGCTTTTGTGTCAAAATACCTATGTTAGAATAGCACTATATATAAATCTAATATATATCTTAAGTCGCGCTTTTGAGACATGAAGAACGCAATTTGAATTTCGTGAATCGGCCCAGTAGAACGGGAGATATAGAACTGTCCCCCCCTTTTTTTAGCAGTGTACAGTTATGTCTTGAATAATTTTTTTAAGTATTGATTAAGTGCCCAAGACTTCACATAGCGTTAATTTATGATGAAATAATATCATAGCAATTTTGTTTATGGTATTTGGTTTTACCATTTTAAAATGCTTATTTTAAATATTATGATTTTATGTTCCATTTCTTTAATTTCAAAGGGGATTGTGCTTAAGCCAGCATGCATAACAAAACTTTATAGTTTAAAATGGTTGTAGCTTCCTTTTAATCGTGATTTTTGTGTTTTATAATTTTTGAAGCTCTATTGGTAAACTTTCCAAAATGTTAAACTGCAACCTGACATGTTAAATTCCCCCCTTCTGTTTTTGCACTCAAAAATGATTCAAACCGCAATTCATTTGCCATATTTTCTTGTCATCCGAAAAAAAAAAAAATTTGTGCAATTTGAAAATCCTTGATAGAGACTGCTTGTCGTTTCCTGCATAGCATTTATATTAAATTTCACACAGTTCACTGTAAATTCATATTTTAACAGCCCTTTTGTAGATAACTAAGCAACAGTTTCCCAATAAATATTACAGACATCATCTCCACAGCTGAAAGATCCACACTGTTGCCAATATAATCTTCTAATAAAAATAAGATAATTATGAGTGAAGCCACTCTAATTACAGCTTTTCATAGCTCTAACTAATAAGAAAATGAGATCAAAATTTATGCGCATTTAACAATTCGAAAAGATTCTGCAGGGGAAAAAAAGTTAGTTTTAGATAACTATGATGTAGGAAAATATAATGCTATATAGTAGAACATCTATGGGAGAAAAGAAATACTTATATATTTTGTAAATAGTAAAATAAAAAACCAACTGTACTTCTGTTATTATAAGGAAAATAAAAATAGTTCATTTGCAAAAGCACATGCAAATTCTACACATAAAAGTAACTATAATTTTTAAGTATCATTCTTATCAGCTATAATGACCATTATCATTCAAGGTAATGGCCATTATAGCCGATATTTTGTAAAAATTTTCATTTTTATTAGTTTCTATTGTAAAAGTATAAATTATTTATTATCTAAATTTCAAATTATTTGCAATCTATTGTAAAATTTGTTACTTAAAAGAAATGTTGCAGCTTTGTAAAATTTATCCCTGTAAAGACTAATGTTGAAAACCAATTTCTCAACAAAAATCACGATACTGGTTTGGTTAAGTTTACCTGTTTATGGCAAAGCACTCTAAGGCTATCTGTTTAAGGGGAGGAATGTCTTCATGAAGGACTTTCTAAGATAAATTGGCTCATATTTGCAGGGATTCGAAGCCAGGATCGAACTACCAGTGTTCAGCGACTTTACCACTTGGCCGCTGGTGGCCCAATGATATTGAATTTCAGGTATTTAGCTTGGTAGTGTACTGATTAGCCTCAAGTCTGTTGATTTAAACATGAACATGCTGCTATAGTTGCTCTTAAGCAGGAAAACCGATGTTTCAGCTTCTGATAGTGAATATGTAAGCTGTATATATCTTCGGTATAGTTAAAGCTATTCAGTTATTAGCCACATAAGACTAAACAGAAAATTTTCTTCCAATATTATTATTGTCATCATAGATATTGCTTATGGCACAAGTGAAAAACTAGGTAACCTTTCTTGGTTGGTGAAATTAAAATAAATATGCCATGGCACTCGAAGTGCTTGATGAGCAAAAAGACACATTTTGACTGATGTCAAATTTACAACTGAAATTGCATGATGAATGAATGTTTTTGCAACATTAATATGTTCACAAAAGATCAACAGATGACCACTGAATTCCTTAGAATTTTACAACTTCACAATGATGAAATCATTCAACTATTCAACCTGTAAAGCAAGCATAGTCTTTGTAGTAAAAATTAAATTTAGTGTTAGCTTTATTTCATATTTTATTATTAAAGTATTATTTTTGCATTTCTCTACTGGACTTTTGTCCCAGAATCTTTTCAATTACCCTTTAAATAGCACATATCCAATTTTGGTAAAACTTTGCTTCATAATTCATTTATTTCCCTTTTTCACAGAAAACTGATGCAGAACACATTCCACCTTTGAGAAAATTTTGAATTTTTCAACATACTAATTTGTACACAGAACAAGTATTTGGCACTAGCTTTAACAATGAAGATTTATCTGATTCATATAATAAAACTGAATACCAATAACATAAACTTATGCAAGCCAAAAAAAAAAAAGATTTTTCTGATACACTTACAATAGTTGTGCACAATATGCGTAGCGTTCATAATGAAGGAGATGCAACACGTTTTCTTTCTTTACTGTATATTCTACAAAGCCTTTTTCATCTTGCATGAATTCACAAAAGTTATGTTGTATGAGCACACACAATGAGGATTTTACCTAAAGGAAGATAAAAATGAAATTTAAGTAACACACAGGAGCTTTTGCACATTTTTTTAAGATGATTTTCATTGTATTTACTAAAATATTTTAATCTACTAAATATTACTAAAATATTTATACCTAAAATTTTTGTGTTTTAAATGTTCTGTTTGATAACCTTTATTCTTCACAATATTTTTACACTGCAATTTCCAAGACAATAAAGCATTTTGTAGTATTGGAGGAGGTATTTCATCCCATTCCTCTTGAACACCTTTCCAAAGTCTAAGGAAGGTTGTAGGTTGACATTTGGACAATCTGTATTTTAACCATCCAAAAGCACAAAAATCCATGGGTGATAAATCAGGAGATTTAGTAAGGATCTGAGCGAAGGTTATGGTTTTGATACACATTTCTTGTTCTATTTTTTCCAGTAAATTAACGGATGATTTTTGACATGTGGCTGCTTGCTTTGTCTTGATGCAATTCTACTGACTAATGGCACTGTGAGCAAAAAGAAGATATTTCATATTTGAAAATTGGGTATAACATAAATTTCTGATGCTTCCTGGAGTTGATAATAGCATTTTTCTCCACTTTCTTTATTTTTAATTTGTTGTTAGATGAAAAACCAGTAGCAATCGTAAATCCTTTTGAAAAATTTTCTTTAGATTCATTTGAATCGATGATAATAAATGGATTATTTTTATTAGCAGCCATTTAAATACATCCAAGACTAATCTGTAACACAATTTTTCCATTTTTGTCCAGATAAATGTTTCTCACAAAGTCTGCAGCACATTCTGTTTTTGGTAATATGTCATGGAGAAAGATGATGCATATTACTTTTTTTGCCTTTATAAGATTCAAATCATCATTAACCCTTTCGCTGCATATCCTGCAGTTTCAAATGGCAATGCATAAGTAGCAAAATTTGTGCAACACACGATTTGTATGGAGATGCATTTTTTCCATCTTTTTAACTGTGCAATCTGCTGTTTTCCAGGTCATGATTCCATTTCGGCTTTTCTGTGATGTTTAATTCTTTATTCAGATCTGGGTTAACATATGCCATTAGCTGTCCATATTTCTGCAAAATATACAAGCATGTTTTGCACCATTTTGCACGCTCTTTTCAAAGCTCAAAGATGTCTGTTGTTCAACTCTCAATCTCATGAGACTAACTGCTTGAGACTTTGCTAGCCATATACCCCCAATCACATCATGAAAGAGCTTCGTAGGCAGTGTGCTCTTTGTTACTACTACTAAAAAAAAAAAAAAAAAAAAAAAACCCTGCGAGGAAGGACTTTGCCTTGAACCTTGTTTATCATCCTAAACTTCATTTCTAATAAACGTTTTGTAAGTATTAAATCATAATTTAACAAAGATTAATTTTCAAAATTTTGCTTTTATATGATTATTATTCAATTTCAATTTTCCAACAACCTTTTTTTTTTATGATATAATTCTATACTAGAAAAAACTCTTTTACAAAAAACACTTCTGTATATTTTTAATGTAGATTTGAAATATGTAATTAAAAAAATACTGTTATGATGTTTACTTATATTGTGGCGCGGAGAGTTTTGACAATAATTCCAAGACTTCGAATGAACCACTTGGAACACGAGTGACGAAAACAATACATAAGACATCCGAAGACATATCGCGATTACGTACCTCAAATTGGGAAGAAATTCTAAGAAAAGCATTGAAAGACAATTGGTGATGTCATCGAGACCAAAGTGATAGACTCTGGTATGTTTAGATAGAAAAGACCATGTTATAGGTAAAAGACAAAACCACAAAAGATGCCAATTTCAAAAATGTAAGGGAACCCTCTTACATTTTGTACAAAATGCGATGTAACGCTTTGTGTTAAATGTTTTCCGCTATATCACACTTAAATATTACAAATTTTCTCAATAAAAATATAACTAAGGAAGTTTATATCAATAAAATAAGATTTTTTCTTTTATATCTCTTTAGTTGGTTTTAATTTTGCAAAATGTTCATATTTTTTAAACTAAATTTGTAATTTTTTTAAATTAAGATCAGAGCGCAGTTACTTGTTCTTTTATTAACAAATGCACTTAGTGATTTATTTATAGATTACCTATTATCTGAACTGCTAATTACGATAAGTGGATAAAACTTCATAATTACTGTATTTATGTTATATGAAATGTAATTTTAAAATATTTTTTCAAAAATTCTCATTTAAAAATAATTTGGGCATTAACGAATTAACATAAACCTGAAAAGTATCTAGATACTTTAAAATACAGAATAATATTAATAATATATGATGCTGAAGACAACAGGTTACAGGCAGTGTTATGAACTCATTTTAACTGTATAACTTTTTTCTTTTTACCCTTTCAAAAATTGCTCTCAAAATTGCTCAAAATTCAAGCTGTGAAATAAATATAAAAAGTGCTTTTAATTACAGTATTAATTAGTGTTTTTAATTACTTATTATTAGTTTATAATTTTTATGAATTAAATTCCCTTCATTATTAATGCATGAAAATACTGCTATTTTTTAATTTTTAACAAACAAAATGCAACTCATTCACAGAATCCTCCATTTTTTAACCTTTTACACGCCAATGTTCCGTAAATGGAACATCGAATTTAAAATGTCATAAGAAACACAATTTTATTAATATTCCTTTGTATAAATTATTACATAAAGAGTAAATATGTATTGATTTTTTAGTAGCAATATGATGCTTCTAAAAGAAATAGTATCTTGATAAAAAAATTCATTATTTCACCTTTTTTCCTACTTTTCTAAGAGCAAACTTCAATAATTCATATAAAATTAAAAATTCAACAAATGCTTTTAAAAATCAGTGAGGATATTTAAAAAGGATCATTTTATGCATAGACAGTAAGTTATCATAGAAAGATGATTATTATTTTTTACTATGAGGTAAGAAATGTGGATGTTCCAGAAAGGGAACATTGGCATGTAAAGGTATATTCTTAACAGGATGAAATTACTTTGATTGCCGTGAATAGAGGCACGAAGAAAGATTTTCCAAATGTGAAAATTTCCAGTAAGTGTGGAAAATAGATGTTTAAGACTGTTAATCTGTTTTCGACACCCATATATCCCCCTTCCTCTCATTCACACATTTCCATAAGGGTTTGGAGTTACTCACAGCTGCTAGAAAAAAAAGCACTTGGCGTTTCCTGATAGGCTAGATGCTAGAGGTTGTTTATGACTCAGTGAAAAAGGCGTATATGTTCGAGTGCGGATTTCATTATTTTCCCCATTGTTTGCATTTTTCGTCAGTTCGTGAAGATATGCTACGCTGATAAGATGTTTCATTCAAAACCATTTCAGACTGAAGAGCCATTGGAATACTTTTATACATTATCAGATGATGATAATGTATAAAATAATAATACTATGATAATGTATGAGTGTAGTGATATTTGACAACTGCCTCCAGAAGAAACTGGATGTTTGACAGATGAGGAAGATGTAAATGAAGATATATTTTGACTGTTCTGCCAGTTGATGCATGTGGAAAAATTGAAATTTCTAATAAAATAGATGATGATGAAATATCTCAAGAAATTTCATTCGATCCTCAAGAACCTTCATCTTCAAAGGGAAGGAAGAATTTGAAGCGAAAACTAAAGGCAAAAGAGAAAAACATTGAACATCAGTGAGGGGAAAATTTAAATTCTAACAAAATTCTAAAAACTGGCAGCATTGAAAATATTTGCGAAGCGTTTCCTGAACTAGTTACTTTATCTCCAGCTGAGATGTTTCACAAGTTTCTAACTAGATAATTTTAGCTGCATTTAGCAAATATGACAGGTCTTTACGCAATGCAGAAAGAAGTTGTTTTAGCTTTTTTCTATAACTTTTTTTCATCCCATAAAGTGTTCACGGATTTATCTGAAAAGAACTTTAAAGCAGCTGGCATAATTCAGGATTTTCGGACTGGAAGATGCCCTCTCAAATCTCTAAACGAAGCTTCAAAATGGCAAAAGCAAATTTTGATTACAGAAGTGACGGACAAGTTTATATTTGCCGTTGGAAATACATTGTAGTTAACTATAGCACTCAATTATTCAACGTATAAACCTGTTAGTAAATCTAAGAAATTCTGCCGAACCCCAAAAAAGAAAATTGATATTCCTCAGCCGTATCTTAGCAAAAATGGTACGGGAATCTATTTAGCAATGCATTAAACATGGCTGTTGTGGCCGGGTGAATTTTACATTCACATTTGCACAAAGGTACAGAAGCAGAACTGTCAGATCTCAATTTCAAGAGAAAAGTAACTTTATGTCTGCTTCGCATGAAACCAAAAGTCCATTCAGTTCCTGGACCTCGGGCACATGGAACTCTGAATCTGTGAGAAAATCAGATTCACATTATCTTGTGCCATCATCACAAGGACGTTGCACCAGAAGAACACTAAAAACAAATGTTTTGAGTGCTAGAAAAGACTGCATCAGAAATGCTTTCCTAACTATCATGGAAAATAGAAAAAAGACTCAGAAGCATAAAAACAATTATTATTTTTTGTCTTTATTTCTTGTTCCAAAATTTTTGGTAAGTTTCTATTTTTACTTGTATTATTTAACATTTTATTCATATGATTTCTGCAGGGTGAATTTTTATATGGCGATTATTTGTTACTTCTTTATTCTACAACTCTTTCCCTTGTTTCCGTATAAACTGCTAACAATTCATGTAAAATTCTTTTATAAATTCATGCTTATAAACTTTTGTTATAATTTTTGTTTTAATTTAGTACGAAAGCTTTTTTCTGTGGAAGCTTCATATCTTCTAAGACATTTTGGTGGATACTTCCGAATAACGCTGACAAATTCATTTGCTTATGCTGAAAAAGTGCAGACAAAAATGAAGCTTCGAATCAGAATGTCGATAATCATGTTGTACAAAAATAATGTAAAAAAACTGTTTCCTGCCAATGTTCCATTTATGGAACATGTTATAAATCATTAAAAATATTTTTAAAAATTTTTTTCTTTTTTCATAATTCTTATATTTGAGTTTTAAATCAATTTTTCACAACAAAACATTTATTTTACTTTCGCATCATAAATTGGCGTGTAAAAGGTTAATTTCTAAAATTAAGATATATAATTCTTGAAAATAGTTCCAGAACTTCTCTTTCATTATGTTGATCTTTTCAGTATAGCTAGCTGTTTAAGCAAATTAGAGGTACTGGGGTAACAGAATGTTGCAATACCAACAACACAGAGCAAAATAAAGTCTTCCCTGGATTATTCTAATTTCTTGGCACCTCCTTTTTACTTCCTTGTACAAAGTAAAGGAAGTATTGTAATCACGAAAAATTCCCGGTAAATGAAAATATGCATTCTGATCACTATCGAATGCAATTTAACGATGTTTTTGCATGACATCTGTACTTAAGGACAGAATAAAGGACTCTTTTTTTCCCCAAATGAATTATAAAACTCATTTAAAATGGATTCAGAAGAGATATTTTCGTGGCGTCTGTACATACATTTGTATGTATTTCGTATAACTCAAAAACAAATAGCCTCAGAACGTTGAAATTTTGTATGTGGGACCGTTATAACATGCAGATGTGCACCTCCCTTTTT